CCGGGCTCAATCGGGGACGGGCAGGCGCGGTCGGAGCGGGCGGGGGCAAGACACGCCGTGGCCGGAGACGGGCTCTGCCGGGACAGGAGGAAAAAGGAAAAAAGAAAAAGGAAAAAATGGGCTATAGTGGGATACAATTTCATTTACGGAGTCTGCTCTGCCCGGGGCAATTTCGCACCGTAAAACGGTTTATAGTGCATCTTATACGCGTTTCTAAGGGTCGACTTTTAAGGGGTTTGCTAGAGGTGCTCTTAGGCATGCTACTAGCAAAAAAAAAATACCACACGCCCCTAACACAATAACCATGACTCAAGACCCCAATAGGTCCACATCCTTTATTTCAACATGGCATCTTATCAGTCTCGCTGTTTATCCTTCTTCCCACTCTCACCGACGGACATGCATGGTTATAGATGATTTCTTGTCTTCAATTTGTTTTCGTTGAGGTGTTTATTTTCAGTTTGAATCGGCACATGTACAAAAGAAAGACGGGTCGTGCACTACTAATTAAGGTTGCATCCTAAACAACATTTTAAAAATTATTAACATGTGAAACAACATCATATTCAGATTCTACATATTTTTCTAACCAATTTTCATATACAACATGTTAAAATTGGAGTTAGGGTTTAAAAGATATGAATATTTTTTAAAGCATTTGTATCTGTCTTTAACATCATTTTAAAATGGTTGACGGGTAAAACTAACATCATATTCATATTCTACACATTTTTTAATCAGTTTTCATATATAACATGTTAAAGTTGGAGTTATGCTTTAAAAGATATGAATATTTTTTAAAATATTTGAATCTGTAAAAAACCTTATTTTCTAGACGAACAACGGGTTAATTAACTGAAATCTCAGGGGTGTTTCAGCAAAAAAGTGAAACATTTTTTATTCTACTTAAAATAGGATCCCGAGTTGATTAACCGAAACCTCAGAGCTTTTCTGCAAAACATGAGACGTTTTTGTTCCCACTTAAATCGGGACCATGGATGCATATCACAAACATGCGGGGACTTTTCTGCAAAATGGAATATGTGATATGGCATTGATTGTTTTTCTTTTCATCATTGCTCAATGACACATGCTTGACCCCCTCCAAGAATCAAAATAGTTGATCCAAATCGCCCCTGCTTATCAAAATATAAGACGCTTTTTGACATTATGAATTTAGCAAAGGGAGTCCTGGATTACCAAACTGATGGTGTGGCACGGAGATAATAGCAGAAGGTGAACAATTCTGCTGCAGTGGGAATTTATCATAGCAGGCCCATGGGAACGTACAGTGGTCAGAACCCAAGCCCACTTATATACATATATATGGATTCAAACCAGATGCGCCAAGAAGGTGATGACCAAGCTCGATCGCATTTGCTATCTTGCATGCTGCATCGCCATCTTCCTCCAGGTCACCCAAAGACATGTCCTCATCGTCGCCTGCTGTTGGAACGTGCATGCTTTCTGCATGGACCACCCGTACGTGTCCTCTTCCAACCATTCATCCCCATCATCATCACTGTCATCGCTATGAGCCTTGTGAATCACAACTCTTGGTGGAGGTCACTCAGAGCAACTCCAACGGGCTGATCCAAACGGACGGCGCATTTGTCCTTTTTTATCCGTTTGGGTCGACCGCCCGCCTAGTTTTGCATTTGGGTCGGCAGTGCGTCCAAAGCGCCGACCCATTTCATGCCCGCATTCAACTTTTAAATAAAAAGGGCCCGCGGCCGATCATGTCAGCGGCCATGTCTCATGCCGGCACCATGCCAGCGCCGGCATACAATGCCGGCTTCAGAAAATATCACCATAGTTTATGCTGGCGCACTCGCCAGCCGGCCGGCACACATGTCAGCACACAAAAAAGGGTGGGACTTGAGTTCGACCACGCCATCCCGGCTCCCGTGGTCATGCCGGCACACCTGCCGGCATACAAAAAAGATGGCCCTCGCCGCACATAGATCATTTGTCGGTGAACTTGAGCATGTCGACCTGCATCTTCTCGAACCACGGCCTCTTCCTTGGCGACACGGTGTTGAGATCCACCTTCATGATCTCCACCCCGGTCATCATGCTCGCAAGAGCCACTTCTTTCGCCTTGGTCTTGGCGTTGGCGGCCTCGATCTCTAGCATCCTGGCTTGCTTCTCCGCCTCGAGCTCGAACATCTTGGCTTGCTTCTCGGCGTCAAGATCAAGCCTCCTCCTTTGGATCTCCATGAAAGCATCCATTTGCTCCGCTTTGAAGCACCGGCGCTCCTCCTCCCTTGAGTCTTTCTTATTCATCATACCGTCCACGCTTGCGATCAAGGCGTTGGTGGCCGCATCTCGCTTGTCCTCCTTCTTGGAGTTGGTCTTCCCCCGCGGCCGTGCCGGCTCCCCCCCCCCCCAACACCCTCCACGGCTTTCTTCCTCCCACGTGCCTTGAGTGCGTCATATTGTGCCTTGAACTTCTCTTCGTCCTTGATGACCCGGTAGCAATGGGAGAGGTTGAAGCACTTGCCATTGTGTTGAACCTTGAATGCCTCCAAAGCTTGAAATGCCTACAAAATGTTTCCATGCAAGCATATGGGCAAGTGATAGCAAATGAAGACGTAAAAGGATGATCTTGATGACACAAAAGAGGGTGGCTTGCTTGCTATCATACCATGTCTTGCATGCCGATGCCGCTCACGGGGCGGGCCTTGACGCTCTCAAGTGTGGCGTAGAACTTGTTGCACTCTTGTTGGATCACCCTCCACCGCTTGGAAATGGAGACCCACCCGCGCATGCTCACAAATTGGTAAGGTGGGAACTTCTTGCGCTCATGGAACTCTCGGTGCACACGAGTCCAAAAGGTCGAATGCTTTTGCTCGGCGCCCGTCTTCGGGTCTTGTCCAATGTCTCGCCAACACTCGCAAAGAAGCTTGTCTTCGGCCGCCGTGTACACCTTCGCACGCTTGCTCTTGCGCTTGGGCTTAGGACCAGTGGCTTGGTTGGCGAACTC